TATGAAGTTGATCCGGCAAATGGTTCCGAAAATATGAGCATATTTATAACACAAGTTTTTCTCGAAACGTCATTGCCAGCGTCGGTGAGTAAAATTTCTAAGGTCCGATTGAACCGAACTACATGAAATTTTAACACGACCTTCATAGGTATATATTTGTAGGGTAATGCTCCAAGAAGTAATACTTTCGATTTATACTAGAAAAAACGTTAACGTCAGCTGAAAAAAACATTCGTAAATTGTACTGTTGCCTTGGACAATAATCCATGTCAAATGTTACATGTTACAACAACACTAAACTTTTGGTTACATTTGGTCTAGTCAACAACCTACACTTTTCCAAGACAGCAACCTTTGTTTACATTTGGAGTCAATACCCGTTTGTTTACATTTTATAAAAACATTGACCATTTACCCATTTTTACATATAGCGAAGTTCAAAACCTTTGTTTCATTTTGCCAACAGAACAACCTTTATTTACACTTGGGGTCAATGACCTTTTTGTTTACATTTTATGAAGTCAATACTCCTTTTTTAYGTTACGAGGCCAATAATCTCTTTGTTTAGATTTTATCAGGTTATGTTTGTTCAAATTACTTGAACAATAATATACATCATACTATATCCACTGTCAGTTTGACAGCATACAAAAACGCAGCAAACAAAAGAAAAATATGAATAGCAGTGCCTGTCACTTATTACCCCCCACCCGAGGTAAGGAATAAGTGACGCAGCGCAGCAATAACTTTTACTTAACAATGTTGTTTACATTTCGCTAATGCAACAAGCTTGTTTGCATTATGAGGTCATTGACCTCTTTATGTGGTCAAAACCCTTTTGTTTAATTTTAGCAAAGTCATCTACCTTTTTTTACTTTTGGACTCAATGACTTTTTTGTTTATAATTTACGCGGTCAATGACCCCTTTGTWTACATTTTATAATGTCCTTGACTCTTTTGTTTACATTTAGSCAAGACAACAACCTTTTTTTATATTAATTTCAAAATTGCCAGCTCAAGGGACGTAAAAGTTTGAAATTGCTGTACGAGTATCCTATATAGTCAATATTGTATACCTAATTTTTTTGGTACATAATTCTTATTCTTCTACTTTTGACCTGTAACTGTTATCGTAAAAAAAGACGAGCTAAAAGCATTTGTAATGAAGCTGTGCAAATACATACATTCTCTCACAGCATAACACTAGTGGGGACAAAAAGGTTTGGAGAGGCTAAAGTGCACTTAGTTGAGTAGGCGGTTTGAGTGATGGTTATGACCTAGACTATAAGTAAAAGGCATAGAACGTGATTTATATTCGATCAGCAACTAGCAACAACAATACAAGTACACAAATTTACTCAACTTACATACATACAAGCACTTGGTCAGAGTATATTGGTGAAATGTTTTTACTTAATTTGAAAGACATATTCCCGTGGATTACCCACAAGTGTTTCTATTTTTACCCTTTATGTACCAATTATGTATTTTCGTGGGACCTGACCTATTTGAACTAGTTTTTCGTTAGATTTTGTTGTTTTCTACTCCTTTATTTATTCAGGTGAAAATAYGTTTATTACAGGTGTCATTTTCTAAAAACAAAAATAATTAAATAAATAAAAGAATGAGGTTGATGCCGCTACTAGAATTTAATTTCGTTTAGTTGCCGAACAATTGTAGAACTGTAAACCCGAAACTGGACGGTCGAAGTAAAGCCAGTAAAATTTCTTTCACTCAAAAAATGCGCTATTCTTATTATATAAATGTTGTGCGATTGCTAATATTTCTAATAACCGGTGCRTTGATATTTCTGCTCATTAATCAATGGATCTATATGAGAGATGCGCTAGAGGGGATGGAAATTGAATTAATACAAAAAACACCGTATTGGCAGCGAAGYCACAAAAGAGAACTGAAGGATTGGCATGACGTCGAAGCCATGGCGAGCGATGCAGCACGTAGTGGATTAGGCGAACATGGCAAACCTGCGTATATTACGAAACTTTCAAAGCGGACGTTAGAGCGTGAACTAAGCAAGAAGAACGGATTTAATGCCTTGCTGAGTGATATGATTTCTGTCAATCGGTCGTTGCCTGATATACGTGATCAGGGGTAAGTGAGTAAGGGTAAATTTTGAAGATACGTACTCCCCAGGCAAGATCAGAGACGTTTGTAATTTTTCTTTGAGAGGGTGCCACTAGGACTGAATGCTTATGTTTTAATGTTCAATCTAACTTTCAAAAGGAGCTCAAATTTCMCAGCTATAGGACCTGTGGTATGTGAGATGTAGCATTAAAGTTTCAATTGAATTTTGTGTTGTAGTTATCCGAGCTTTGCAGTTGGATTTCCCAATGAGACCGTTAGCGATGAAAATATCAAAAATATTTTGTACAACCCAAGTCAATAATGTAGACATTCAGATAACAAAAGCATGTGTTGAAAATATCGTTCTTGAATATTTGGGTATGTTAAGCACTGCTGAATGTGCATTACGATTCCGACCCAATGATTTAGTAATCGGAGTGTATAATAGTATTATTCGAAGTATTGCCCATCGAAAGCTATAACTTTTTCCTATCTTTCCGACAACTTCTGGATTAATCTTTAAAGGACAGCATTGACATGGCGCCCAAGAATGAATCAAGCCAAATTTTTGATACACTGTTCTGATATAAACTGTATTTTATTCAGAGGGTTCGACATCGACTGGAGCAAATAGTAATCTGAAGGAACAAATCCAGAGCTATAAGGCTGGAGAGATAAAGCTTTCCAGTCAATGTTTTGCAAACAGTTTTTAACTGGTTTTGTAACATAAGGCAGTGAGTTGTCATGACGAAAAATTATTGCCTCATACCAAGTCAAAAATACCGGCCGGTTTTCAGSAATCGCTCGCTTCAATTTGATGATTTGGTATCAGTAGCGTTCCCTATTAATTCCGTATTAATGGCAAGCGGCTTTAGAAGTTTAGTACGAAAGTACGAAATGAGAGCATGTCTCATATTATGTCATGTATATTCGGCTTTGTTTTTGATTTGGTTGGTTGGTTAGGCTTCGCATAGGTGTTTTTTTACGTTTAGAGTTGTCGTAATGGATACATTTTCCAACACCAGTCACAATCCAGTGCAAGCACGACTTCTTTTTAAGTCATTAAAGCATCGTCTTTCAAGGACTATATTGGCTTCAGTTCATATGACACCCACTAAATTTTTTGAATGTATCCGGATGTCTTGAAACATTTTATATTGGCTTCGTGAGTGACTGCCAAATATTCTGCAAACTGTTTTTCTGTTTAAAATCGGAAAACCCCACCAAGGTTTTGGAAAATCGGTTTAAAAAAATGCCGAGCTAGTAACTGGAAAATAGTCGCGTAAAATCATTACGAGCTTGTCCACAGTAACTATATGTACATTGCCTCCATTATATGTATATACATTCAAACATTTATCTTTCAAACAGCACCTAATTATTTCATAAATTGAAAAATATTAAAAAAAAAATTTATTTACAGCTGTAAAAGACTGAAATATTTCGCMGATTTACCCACTGTCAGTATAATAATACCGTTCTACAATGAACACTTCAGCGCCTTGGTGCGATCTTTACACAGTATCATCAACCGTACACCAGCCGAATTGATTAAGGAAATAATACTCGTCGATGATTTCAGTGATGTTAGCAATTTGAAGAAACCACTCGACGAGTATGTGGAACAAAATTTTCCTAATGTGGAAWTTATACGCTTTCGTAAGCGGCAAGGGCTCATCGCAGCGCGCCTAGCTGGTGCCGTTAAGGCTGTCGCTGATGTGYTGGTTTTTATGGACGCACACGTGGAAGTCAATTACAATTGGTTGCCACCGCTGCTGCATGAAATAGTTTTGAACAAACGCACCGCGGTATGCCCCATGATCGATGTGATTGAGGACGCTACATTCGAGTATACTGCWCAAGATGAGGGSGCACGTGGCGCTTTCGATTGGATATTTGACTATAAACGACTACCGCTGCTCGAAAGTGCTAAGAAGAATCGCACAAAACCATTCGAGAACCCAATCATGGCGGGCGGTTTATTYGCGATATCAAGGGAATGGTTTTGGGAGTTGGATGGCTATGAYGACGGTTTGGACATTTGGGGTGGTGAACAGTATGAGTTGAGTTTTAAGATTTGGATGTGTGGYGGTCGGTTATTGGACGTGCCTTGCTCACGTGTCGGTCACATTTTTCGCAGCGAAAATTGGACTGGCGTATCGGAAGATCGCAAAGAAGATTACTTGCATAAGGTGAGAATGGAAAGACTTGGAAATTTGAAGAAATATACATACATACATATACATATATGTTTGTTTGCAGAATTACAAACGCGTTGCTGAGGTGTGGATGGACGAATACAAGAACTATCTGTACAAGCATGCGCGCGGTATATATGAAAAAATTGATGCGGGTGATTTAACGAAGCAATTCGCTTTGCGTGAGAAATTGCATTGYAAGTCATTCAAGTGGTTTATCGAAAATGTCGCCTTTGACTTGGTGAAAACATATCCACCAAAAGGCACCACCGATTTCGCTTATGGTCAGGTGAGAAGTGTGGGCGCGCCGAAATTTTGCCTCGACACCTTAGGCCGACCCGATTACAGAATCGTTGGAGTTAAAGATTGCGAAGCGACAAGCATATTTCCAAGTCGGAGACAAGATTGGTCGCTAAGTGAAGACCATGACCTGCGTATGCGTGGCGAAGAATATTGCCTGCAAACGGCTGACCATAAACCAAATTCAAAAGTCTTGCTGTACGATTGCAGTTATGGTAATAAGAATCAATTATGGTATTACAATCGTCGGCGTAAGTGGCTGGTTTATGGTGCAAAAAGACTGTTTTGTCTGGAAGCTCGTCCCGCATCCAAACATGTTGTAGTCAATAAGTGTCGCACGAATTTTCCATTAATGCAATGGGACTTTTTTCATGTTAATGACACTYTGTTGGATATCTATTTCGAAACTATGCCATAACAAGTAGTTAGAATGCGTTTGATCAACTTGTAAGTTGATATATATCATATATATCTATACGTATTTATGAATTTAGTAATAAGTTTATAAAAATACAATGTTTGTAACAAAAAATGACGATTTGTTCGGTCACTATGCCCTTGCTACTAACATCCTGAAGATAGTGTTGAGGACTCTATAAATTAAGTATACCTACTAATTAGAATATAAATGATCAGTGTGATGAGTTGAGTCGATCTGTCTGCCTGTATTTACGTGAACTGGTCCCTCAGTTTGAGATATCGAATGCGCAGGTCGGCTGATCAAGATAAAGCTATWTTTTCTTGCTGTTTTATATATCTATTTCGAGTATCTAGTCAGGTAATTACATATGGTACGGTACAACCCCCCGAGGAACAAATTCGGGCTACCTGAGGCATTGTTCTCTGCTTCCTCCGCCGGGTGCTGCGTCGAATACTGTAAGAGCTGGAGGTTTCCCACGCTGTCTCTTAATTCATTCAAGTATATGAATGYCGTCGTATAACTCGTACAGATCATCGTTSCATCAAATGCGATATTCTTCGTTGCTTATGCACAAAGGACTATAAATCWTCCACGAAAACTGGTAACGTMGACTCATCAGATGTTGTCAYCATTCRTGAGTGACTTCTAGAGTTTGATCTTTGTTCGTCGAGTGAGAACTTTACTTCTAAATTGCYTCCTTTTTTCAKTGGTAGGGGTTTTTACGTGAAGGGTTCTAAACTCAGCGCACATCCCTGGGGAAATACGGCTCGCCTTCAAACGAATATTCTTTGGCTACCCAGAGGATACTTGTTCTAAGACCGGAAGACGTGAGCTGCTTGAGCCATATGTTAAAGAATCTTTTCTGACCACTCCCAAGTGGATGGCGCTCAGAGAACTTTCCTCACTTGCGTGAACTTTTACACCTATGTGATTCGTTGTGACAGACCGCAGAACACAATAGACCTTAGGTCGTGGTGTATTGCTTTCTTTTTATCTTTCTAGGAACTATATTCGGAAATAAYTGACCCTTATGACATCATTCACATGAAAGAAATTAGTGTGCGTGTTGACTTTGTGTGATTAACGCAATATGCAAAACATTTTTAAAACATTTGCCARTGCCATGCAAAGCATTCATGCATTACAACCCTGTTTTGTCAAAGTATGCAATGCACATATTTGACGTTTATGCATTGCGCTGACAGCTGTTAAAGAGTTAGAGTTGTTCGCGTTTGCAAAAATGGAAAATTTATTGTTAATTACATTAAATAATGCTATTTCTTTGGCCGAAACTAGTGCCGGTAGTAATAGTTTAATAATTGCAAAAAGTTTTATAAAAGACCAACGGAGGTTGGCTGTCTTAGYTTGTAGATACGAAAATAAAAGAAGAATTCTAAAAATAAAAAGATTCTATAAGAGCATTCCGAGTATGCAGAAAGCTGTTTTCTATTCACATTTTCGAATGGAAAAATCAACATTTAAGGTGAGTTTTAAGTAAGCAATTAGTCGTCCACATTTATATTGAAATTGTAATTTGTAGATTCTTCTAAACATGTTGAGACCATATTGGGTGTCAAAGAGCACTGGACGTATTGGCGTTTCATTGGAAAAAGCGCTCTATGCAACTTTGTGGAAATTGAGCCATAACGCATCATTCAGAGATGTTAGCAAYAGGTTCGACATGGCAATGGGAACAAGCTATAAAATATGTATTAAAACTATAAAAAAAATTTGCTGTTTAAAAAAAGAGGTCATAAAATTTCCGACTACTGTTGCAGAACAAAAACAAAAATGCGACGAATTTTCAGCTAAACGCAACCATCCGTTTCCAAATGTCATTGGCTGCATAGGTGTTATGCACATTTCCATTTCACAACCAGTTAAGGACAGTACTAGTTTCTATAATAGCGAGGGGAACTATTCAGTTGTTCTTCAAGTAAGAGTGTTCATTATAGTTTTTTATGTGTAATTAATTGAATTTATTTAGGCAGTTGTGGATGGTAGCCTTAAGTTCATGGATGTGTATATTGGCTGTCCCGGACGTTGTCATGATGCCGCTATTTGGGAAATGAGTCCTATTAGAAAGTCRATAGTTAAGGGCGAATTAAAAATTTGTTCCGGCTGCCATTTATTAGGAGATTCCGCATATCCATTAGAAAGCTATCTAATGGTTCCTTATAAGAATAATRGTTCTTTAACACCTAAACAAATAAAATATAACAAAATTTTATGCTCAACGAGGGCGCATGCTGAACAGGCGTTTGCAATTTTGAAAAAGAAATTTCATATTTTGAGATATATTGAAGTGCATCAAGCACATTTACCAAAAACTATCACACTGGCTTGTATAATTCTTCACAATATTATTATGGAAAATGAGGGACATGAAGCCGTCGTCATAAGTGAGGAGGAAGAAGATGAGGCGTTTAATAACGAAAACAGCTTTTCACAATTACCAACTGCAAGTCAACAGAGAGAAGAAGCCAAAAATAAACGGGACGCAATTGTTACTTTGTTAACGAYATAAGTGATGAAATAAAAACCTTTTTATATAAATATTTATATATATTAATTTAATTTTATTAAATATAAAATAACAAAGCACTGTTTTGATTAAAAATTCAATATTAAMATAAATATTGTTTTAGTAAAAATTCATTATGTAATGTTAAAAGAAACTAGAAACAWGAAAAAACGYTGACTTCTTTGCAACGAAATTATAAAACCCTTTGGAAATATTAAAGATTCCTTAGAAGARCTTTTATCGGTCAGTTTACATATATATATATTATTGTATATACAGACAGACGAACATACAATTTTTATATATACTAGACGGACGGGCATGGGTAATCCGACTCAGCTCGTTACATTGATCATTTGTATATTAATATACTTTATAGAGTCTAAACTTTTAGGCGTTACAAACATCGKCGCAATCTTAATAAATTTTAGTCAGATTATAATAATAAAAAAAAAAAAAAAATAGTTAGATAATGTCGATATTGCGTTCTAAAATTCGTTCATATAATTTACGTATGGATTTTAGTTCCATCAACTTTTCCTTTTCAATCTTTACTTTTTCTTTCTCAGTCGCCACCAGTGCCTCAAACAATTTCTCTTGTTTTTCGGATTCGGATGTTAAGAAAGAAATAACTTCATTTCGTTTACGTTTTCGGGTTCTTATCGTATGCGTGACCTCTGAGGATGCAGAAGGGGAAGGACAAGGAGACGGCGATGAAGAAGAGTTTTCGTTTCCAGTTGGTTCCAAAGAACGTCTCACCATATTCTCAGGTGCAACAACGCTGCAGCGTGTACCGTATACGTCGTCCATTTCCTCAAAGAACTCCCAATTGGTGGCAGCTTTGCCGGACGTTGCGCTTCTTCTCTTTATTCGCTTATATGTGCCCAACAAGTTGGTGTAGCAGCGCATTATTTCATCGAGAGAAAATGGAAATGCTTTGTCCTTTTTCAGTATATCCCGCCTAATTTTCTGCCAAATTGTGCTACGCTTTTTTGTTTTAGTTGCGAAATCACTTTCATGGCTAAGCCTTACGGTGATAAGCAACTTTTTACGCTCGTGCGTCCACTTTTTATCACTATAAATAAAAAATGAAATAACAATTAAAATTTAATGAATGACATAGATATGAATATAAATTATTTACCTTTTCGGCAAATCTGCCATTTGGAAATATTTCAATGCAATGCATGCAAAGCAAAACTCATGCACATTTTGACAGCTCTTGCGCCTGAAATATAGTTGTCATGCATTCATTAACCTTTTACTTTGCCTAAATTGATGCATTGACGTTTGAGYGTATTGCGCATTGCATGTATGCTTTGCATATTTCATTTTCGAAGGCAAACATACTACATATTAGAGCGGATCGGCCGAAGTCAACTTTGTTTTTTTTTTTTTATATAGATTCTTTTCTGTGTGATGTGTGTTTTTCCCTTTTCATCTGTTTTCATTTCCTAYGGATATAGTTTAAATACAGTTTTACCAAGGATTATCCTCAAGTGCTGTCGATTTGCAATTGYAATTTTGAAGCTCTTCATTTAGGTTTTGCAGGCGAATGTGTGGGTAGTGAAGGCGATCAAGCTGTCGAAGGTTAGACCGAGTATTTTTGAGTTATTCCCAAGAAGTTAGTAATTTGATTGTCATTCCAGTCTGTACCTGTGGGCACAGCTGGTAGTTATGTACCGTTATTTCGAGAGTTAAGCTCTTTGAATAAAGAGCCTTGCGCCATTTACCTTCAAGTGAGTTAATTTCCGCGGTTCTTTGGGTAGWCYAGAAAGTTTTTTTATATTTTGTCAATAGATATCGTTGCAGTCGYATATCGCCAGTGCTACCAATCATATTGTGTCATACCATATAGTGTGGGAAAGGTGAGATTTTAAGCTTCATTTAACCGAAAAAAATTTAATTTGATGAAGTTGAAAGAAAGTTACAGCTATTCAAAAATGAGTGAAAATAATGAAGAAATTCGCTTTATTCCGAAATGTTTGTATAAAAAAGGGAAGTATGCCATGCAAGCCACCAATGAAGTTTGTAAAGTGTACGGAGACAATGCTATATCACTTCGTGTAGCACAACAATGGTTAGCTCGCGTCCGTTCCGGGAAATTTCAAAATTTCGATTTACACTCATGAAAGTTTGACGCTGATGGAATAATGTCTCTAGCAGAAAAATTATAAAGAGTTGTCGAATAAAATGGTACATATTTGTTTATTTATTTATTAGTATAAATATAAAAAAATAAGTTCATGTTTGATTAGAAATACGAAAAGACTTTTTCGACTACCCAATATTTTCCCGATATGTAAATAAAACGCCGTTAGTTTTTTTTTGTATTCAATTTCATTAAAAATACATTTATTTTTTGTTTCTGTTTATGCATATAAAAACTGAGAAATGAAATCAATCAATCAATGAAATATAGGCCAATAGAAATTTTATATAATAGTAATAGGTAATAATAATTATAATAATAATAATAATCGTAATAATTATAATTATAGTAAT